AATCCAATCGACTGGGTTATCCATTGTTTGTAAGTGTCGTTGTTTTAGGGCTTCTCGGGCGTGGAAAATTAGGAATTGTCGAGCGGGGCGCTCGTCCCTGAATGGGTTGTGGAGGAGTCTCTGGCGAGAACCCGTCACATATGGGGCCGCCAAATCATGTTAGTAATGTGAGCGGGCGGGCCATCCAGATCCTGTAACTGTCGTCACTTTTGGGCTCCTGCGGCGTGGATGTGGTTGAAGGCTCGACAGGGACCCTCTTTTCTGACTGCAAGTGTCGAGCGGGAACGCACTTCCTTGCGCGGTCCGCAGATCGGGCTCGGCACTAAGAGTGCGCGCCAGGCGAACTCTCTCGCCCCCGCTTCCCACCGCAGGGAATATGGACGCAGGCGCACGGCTTTAAAAAAATCCCCTGGTAGAGGTCGCCAATATGCTGCTACAGGGTGCCGAAAGCATTGGCGACGACGACCAGGCCGAAACGCGGATTGGAGCTTGCTCATGTTCAGGCCCAACGAGCAGCAGATCACATGCAGAACTTGGGACCGCACGCCGCGCGCCGCTCGGGGCCCGCCCTGACGCGCGCGCCCTGCCTCGTTTCGGCGTTGTCGCAGGGTTAGATGCTGCGCAAGGGCGTCAACAACAACAACAACAACAACAACAACAACAACAACAACAACAACAACAACAACAACAACAACAACAATTACTAGCACGTGGGGACACTCCGTTCTCACCAGTGCCAGGGTTTTCATAGGAGGCGGGCAATACCCCCACTTTGTGGGGGGGCCGGTTCAAGCTCTACCAAATTTCCAAACGACTCTTCGCCACCACCCACACCCAGCTTCCCGCCCTATGACGTTCGGACACTTCACTTCGTGGCATGCGGACGACCGTGGCTACTATTCAGGGCCCCGCGGCCGACGACGACGGCGTGCGCGCGCGAAGAAAAAACGAATGTGTCCCGCATGGTATTATTTGACAGGGATGATGGCCCTGGCAGGTGCGCAACCGTTGTCGCAGAAGTTCGAAAAAGTTGCTCGCAAAAGCCCGTTTGACAGAAATGTTTAAAAAGTGTTGGTTTTCCTACGAATCCGCAAGAGCGCGCGGGATGAGATTTTGACATTTGTTGGTGGAAAAACCATTGGTTTTTATGTTTTTATGTTAACATCGTTCCGAACACTAAGCTTTTGGAAGGATTTCGTCTTGCGCGCGAGAATGTCCACTTTACCTTATTTTTTGCAAGGGATTCTTGAACTTTGATTATATTAGAACAAGAAATGTCATTTTATAATGTTTTTTTGCAAGGGAAAACGGATTACAACAAAACAGCCGGATCTGGACCCCATCCACTTTTCTGAAGCTTTCGCGAAAAAATGATGAAAATGTAGCTGCGGCCTAGGCGCGGCGGGGGGGCCGTGCACCAGGGGCTCCAACAATAATTATTCTTTAGAATTAATAATGTTCAACAACAACAACAACGACTGCTCTAGAGATGAGAACACTGGCCGCACGGGCATGTCGGACGAGCAGTACTGGCTGCACCTCTACGCCATGTTCCCCCGCGCCACGCGCATGCGGAACACGCTGATCCCTCTCGCCCCACGCCAGCGGTCCGCGCCGCGCGGACAGCCGGCGCCCCTGCGAAAGGCGCTCTGGGAGATCGACAAGAGAGCGGAAAGCTCCAGGGATGATGCCGAGCAGCTCACCGCAGAGCTTGGTTTCGCGTTGCCTCCCGCCCGAGAGCGGCCGCGCCCATCTCGAGGCCAGCGGGGATGCCCCAACGGCCTGGCCCGCGTAGTTGCCCCAACCGCTTCGCGATTTTGCCATCGGCGAGCGCACCCATCCCTGCCGAGGCGGCGACGGCGCCGAGGAAAATCGACTTGCGTGCCCCAGCCAGCGGAATGGGGGAGGCGAATGAGAAGAAGAGGCAGGATGATATAATTCTAAGTCTAATTCTATCTAAAGCGTCATCCTCTCTAGGGGGGCCGCTCAAACGTCAAATCACAAGTCAAGGAAGGAGGTGCCCGATTTCGGGGACAGCCCTCGAGAGAGCCGCGACAGAACCTCACGACCTGCAGATGTAGGCTTCCCGCAGAGCCTGGAGAGGGTCCGAGGGGGATTGACTGCGCAAAATCCGCCACAGACCTCACGCAACAACACACCTCGAATCACTGCAAGCTGATGGGACGCATCACAAAGCTCGGCCAACGGGTGGTCCAGAGCCGCCCCTCCGACAGGCACTGCTGCGAGGTCGTCTGGGATGGGGTCGCCCATCCCCCTCGGGTCAGCAGGAGGCCTCGGGGGCAAGCTCTGGATCTTCTGCTGCGCAGGACAGCGCGGCTTGCAAGGACGGGGCCAAAAACCTGATCGGACAAGAACGGGAAGCGCAGTTGTAGTCTAATGGGCGTATTGGGCGAAGAAGAAAAGGAAGGCGAGGACAACGAGGAGTCGATGACGAGGACGACGTGGTGAACGTGAGGATAGCGAGGAGGAGCATGAGGACAACAGGGAGGAAGAGAAGCACTAGGACGAGGACGAAGAGAACGAGGGCGAGCACGAGGAGGAATGCGGAGGGCGATGATGACGACGGGGACGACGACGACGACACAGGACAGTACGAGGCACTTGGAGAAAGACGTTGCTCCTGGCGCCGCACGGGGTTCTCTTGGGGCCTGTTGGGGGCTTCTTGGGGGCCCTTTGGGTCCTCCTATGGGCTTCTGGGGTCTTCTTGGGCTGTCTGGGCGCGTCGTGGGGTTTTGTGGGAGCGTTCTTAAGTGGTCTCGGCGCTGGGGGCCTGCTGGGGCGCTCCCGGGAGTCTCTTGGGGCCTTTTTGGCCCTTTTCGGGTCGTCTTGGGGTTCTTGTGCGCTGTCTGGGTGGCTCCTAGAGCGCTCTTGGGGGTCTCTTGGGGTCTTCTTGGGGCGCTCTTGGGCGCTCCTGGGGCTCTCCGGGGCGTCTTTTGGGCCTCCCTTGGGCCCCTTGGAAAGACCCCCAAAAACGATTCGAACACGACGTCGATGCGGAGTCCCCTCTTGGGCCGATGTTTGGAGGATGTCTCGAGCGAAGCGGCCATTTTTCAAAAACCTGACCGCACAAGAGCGGGAAGCGCCGTTTTTGCTCATAGCAGTGTTTGTCGTCAAAGCTCTGGACGCCAGCGTTCGTACTGGGAGCTCTGGCGTTCGAAGCTGCCCACGTCATCGTTCGTAATGGAGCCTTGGGATGTCGTGGTCGGTCTCTCGTAGGCCTCTTAGAAGCAATTCTGAAGCCTCTTGGGGGCCGTTTTTGGGAGCCGTCTTGGGGGCATCTTGGGGGCCTTTTTGGTGCCTCTTGGGGGCCTCTTGGAGCGTCTTGGGGGGCTCCCGGGGGCCTCCTGGACCCTCCGGGGGGGCACTTGGGGCCGAGGTCCGTTCGTGCCCCTCGTCTGGGCCCCCTCTAGGAGCCATATTGACGGCCTCTTGGGCCGCCGCGAAGCCTCTTGGGGCCGTCTTGGGGCCTTCTGGTGCCTTCTTGGGGCCGTCTTGGGGGCCTCTTGGGCCGTCTTGAGGCGATCTTGGGGGCCTCTTGGGCCGTCTTGGGGCGATCTTGGGGGCCTCTTGGGCCGTCTTGGAGCGTCGGGAAACGGAAAAGGCGAGAACCCCAAAAACCTTCAAAAACTATTCAAAAATCATAGATTTGTGCCTTTTTGGCGCTCTTGTGAGGCCTCTTCGAAGCCTCTTGAGGCGTCTTGGAGGCCTCTTGAGGGCCTCCTGGGCCGTCTTGGAGCTCTCTTGGACCGTCTGGAAGCCATCTTAGGGCATCTTGGAACGCTCTTGCATCATCTGTTTTCCAGTATCTGCTTGAGGAACGGAGCCTGGCACAGGGCAGCTTTGGCAGGCGACAACGGCCTGCGGCAATAAAGACGTCTGGAGGCGACGGGCTGGCTTTGGGAGCCAGAAAGACTATAGAGCAGGTATGAAACGGAACTGTGCGATGCAAACTCGTTCAACAACGTACATGCATCATCTTTTTTCCAGTATCTGCTTGAGGAACGGAGCCTGGCACAGGGCAGCTTTGGCAGGCGACAACGGCCCATCTACAACAAAGCACAGTACCCATCAACAAGCATTGCACTGGCCTAGCCGCGAAGCAACATCCATTTTCTAGAAACCACCTTGGCGAAAATTGTTTGCGAGAACATTCGAGCAAGCTGCTTACAGAGAGCGTCGGGATAGGCGGACTTTTGCTGAGTGCGAAAGTGGGTGGCACCGCTCTCCTTCCCAGACAGCTCGAGATGGGGCTGTCCTGAAAAATCACACACGCCGCGGCCATGACACTTCATAGCCAGAAGAGAAGGAGAGGGGCGACAATGCAGAAATTGGAGCCTAGTGCGCGCACGAAACGGACGACCAGCAGCACATTGATCAACAACTGCTTCAGAGAAAAAGGGAGAGTGATGGCGACGTGCTCTGTCAGGAAAATGCCAAAGCCAACTGCTGCCAGGGTTCTCTTCACCGATAGGGATGCCAAACTTTGCTGCTAGCTGCCAGATCTGCCCCGCGCGGGAGGCAAGCAGGTTGCCAAGCTCAAGCTTGGCCTGATCGGCTGCAGCTAAGCCCGGCAAGCCAAAGATGTGTGCGCTGTCACGAAGGCGTCGAGGCATGCGGGATGCAGGGCCGCCTCGTCGCGCTTGCGAAAGCGACTCGCAAGGCGTGCCCATAAAAATGGCCTTGACTTTGCCGCTGGCGATCCAGCCGCGAAGCACGGCCCAAGGCGCAGGCTGGGCAAAATCAAACTCTTGCCCGTGAAGGACATCCCACTCAATAACAGCATGCCCAGCCTGTCGCAAGTGCCGCGCAAGGTTGCCGGAGCCACTGAAAAGGTCAATGGAAATGCGGGAATCATGTCCCCTGCTACTCATCACAGCTGAAGAGAGTACTGCTTGCAGGCGGCGTCGAATCCAGCGGCCAAATGTTCGCACTCCAGCCGCTGGTGGGCTGGAATCGTTATCTTCTCGATCGCCACTCACGCGTGCTTGTCGTAGCGCTGCGCGCTGTTGAAGGCGTGCCAGTTTCCGAGCTGCAGCTTCTCCATTAGCGTGCGGCTGGCCGTCAGGCGGTCGAGGATGTCGCCGCCTTGCCTGAGGCTGCAAAGCGTGCCTGCTAAACAGCTGGCTCGCACAGCCTCGAGCACCTGGCCAAACCGCCGCAGGAAGAGGCTGTAGACGAAGTCCCACAGCGGGTGCCAGAAGCCCAGGCGGGGGTCGCGGAGGCGCACCAAGGCCCAAGCCAGGGCCTGCTGCCGCGGGGAGACACGCACAACGGTGTGGTCCAGCTCGCCCGTCTTGCCTGGCTGCTGCAACTCTGTAACCGGCACCACTGATGACATGTGCAGGCGCTTCCAACCCGGCAGCGAGTGGGCGAGCTGCGGGAAGCACCTCTGCAAGGGCGCCAAGTGCAGCTGAGGGAGACCTCCAAGCACCGCGACGCCAAGCTTTGCGGTTGTCGCCCGCGCCACCTTCAGGTCGAAGGCCCACCGCAGGAGGTCGGTCAGCGCTGCGTCCCAAGTTGCCACGGGCCAGTCGAGCAGCACGTCCACCATGAGCCACCCTGCCAGCAGCAGCAACACCTTCAGGTAGAGCACCAGAGTGGACGGCTGCACCACGTTGGCTGCCAGCAAGCCCTGGCGGGGCAGCCAGCGGGCCTGTTCCGGGGCGGAAAGCGGCGGTGGCTGCGCTCTGCTCCTTGCGGATCCGCCACCACCAGCGGCTCGCTTCGGGGTCGGCGAAGCGCCTCCCACCTCTGGCAGGCTCGGCTGGCCGGCTGGCGGAGCAGCCTGGAGCGCGCGGCCCTCCTGCATGGCCGCTGCCATTGTGACGCCTGAACTGGTCTTTGTGCTTGGGCCAAGACGGCTCCGTCCCAGACTGAAAACGTCTCGAAGGGCCATCTGCAGGGTTGAGCTCTGAGGGGATCCATCTGAACGTGACCTTGAGGTTGCAGGCGACCGATATGGCAAAGGAGCAGCGGCAGCCAGACAAGAGACCAAAGTCGGACGCACGACCCTTGTCATGGGCGCAGATCATCGACATGTTGTCACCCAAGCCCAGAAGACGATGCCCGTGACATCTCGAATTGCGAGAGGCGCGCCGCAGCCAGAGAAGCCCTGCTGAGCTTTCTAGCCTGTGGATGGTACTTTGGCGCCTCCACTTGCATGCAACAGCCGTGACCCAAGTCGCTTCACGCAGCAGCTCAGAGCTCACCTCGGCGAAACCTGCCGCACGCCCAAGTAAGAGTGCGGCTGGGTCCGAGAGCTCGATGCTGTCGGCAGCCGGGGCAGCGTCCCGCGGGGCCACCAGTGAGGCGAGGGGCCCGCGAAAGCGCAGCTTCTCCGGCTGCCTGCCAGCGGCCTGCACTGCGCTCAAGGGCCAGTGCGCAGTGCAGACTCCCGCGCCCCACGGCGACGCGTCGGAGGCACCCACCTCAGCGTGCCAGGGCCTCTTCATATCGGCGAACACCGTGGGCAACAGTGCGAGCACCCACCTGAGCTCGCGTCGGCAGCTGGGCCACAGCGGCTGCGCCCTGTCGTAGGTGAAACGGATGAAGACGTAGACTGCACTGAGGAGGCTGAGCGCCTCACGGCGCAGCAACAGCAGCGCAACCACGTGACCCACGAGCCTCTCCAGCTGGCGCCCCGTGATACGTCTTCCCGGCTCCAGCAGGTGCGAGATACAACCATGCACTCTCCAAAACTTCTTGGGCGCGGGGCGCCACCTGGCGGCCTTCGCGTCCAGCGTGAAGCCGAGGAGGACGACGTCCAGGTCAAGCGATGCCTCGACGCCCTCACTGGTGAACGAGTCGAGCATGTCGTTGACCACCTGCAATGCTGTCTCGCGGCTGGTGCTAATGGCAGCAAAGTTGTCTATGTACAAGACCTTGGCTGCGGCTGAGCTGTCAGAGAGGCGCGCCCCAGGCTGCTTGTCCACCAGCCACTGGTTGCTCGGAGAGACCGAAGCCAGCACATTCAGGTGGGCAGATTGCACGAAGTGGACGGCCCAGTTCCAACCCATGGGGACGACCCGCACGCGGAAGGCTATCCTGGGCCGAGCAGACAGCTCTGGCCCCAACGCCTCGCGCAGGCGGGCCGGCAGCATGCGGGTCGCCAGGCTCGGTAAGCAGAAGTAGTTCCTGGCCCAGGCCGGCAGCACGTACTGGTAGAAGCAGACCTCCACGTCGCCCGCAGCCAGGTGCACCTCCTCACCGGGCGTGCACTCCAAACTGCTGAGGGCGTCGCCGGAGGCCAAGTGCGTGTACTCGGGCGTCCTGAAGTGGCAGTTCGCCCTCCTAGTGTCGAAGATGAGCCTCAGCTTGTCATCCTTGCGTGGCACGAAGAAGACGCCCGTCTCCTCCTTCCGTTCCAGCTCGTAGTCCAAAACTTCGACGACCCCCGCATCGTAGAGCTCGAGCAGGAACCGCCCGTAGTCAATGCCCCGCTGCCCAGCTTACCGTCCACGTAACACGTGACGTCCGCCTCCTCCAGAGCAGCAGTAGCCTCCTGCTCCGAGCGCAATGACCCGTGCCCGGACTCCAGCGCCGACTGCAGGTGCGCGGGCAACAGCCGAACAAGATCGACACGCCCAGCACCGCCAGAAGGAAGAGAGACCCTCCCGCGCTGGTAGCCGGCTCTCGCCCCGATCGCTGGCTCGTCAGCATAGCCAGGTCGAAGCCCCAGAAACGCCTGAAACGCCTCCTGGTTGGTGCAATCTTCAGTCCTCGGCGGGACCGCGGCGTAGACCCCCTTCAGATGCTGCAGCGCGGAGCGCCGCGCCAAGCTGAGGTGGCCGCCGCCGCCCGCCGACCGCCCACCACCACCCAGCTCGTTGAGCGCCGCGACGCCTTCCAGCATCCAGCGCTCCTGGCGCCTGCAGCGAGCGGCTTTGCGCCGCTGCCCCAGCGAGAGCTCGCCGTCAAGGGCAGAGAACCCCTTCAAGCACTGGAGCGCCTCCGAGTTGAGCGGGATAGGCAGCGCGTCTCTGCGCGAGACCGTCATCGCCAAAACCCAGCGAGGGGGCATCGCCGTTCAGCACGCCTCGCCTCCCCTGCAAACTCGCGCCGAGGTCGGGGGACCCCTCGGCGCGAGGGGGCGCCTCAGGCGCCACGGCCGCACCCGCGGCCGCATGCCTTGGCCTTGGCACCCGCCGCTGGTTCGCCAGAGGCCGCGCCGCGCTCGGCGCCGCGCTCCAGCAGCCTTTCCTCTCGCCCCTTCTTGCGCTCCTTGAGGATGGCGCATCCCTCTCGGAGCATCGTCGCCACCCAGCTCTCCCCGGCGGCGCAGACAAGCGCCGAGCCGCGGCTCCTGCCCTGCCCGAGGAAATTGGGTCGCCCATCGAGCCAGGGTGCAGCGTCCTGACCAGCCTCACCCTCGCGCCAGCTCGACGCATACGGCTCCTCCCAGAGCTGGTCGCGGCGGCAGCGGGTCTCCACCACCGCCAGCTCGCAAGCGTCGAGCCGGTCCTCGGTGGTGAGCTCCTGCAGCACCTCCAACGTGAAGTGGCGGTCGTCCATGCCCGAGTCCAATGCTGTGAGCCCCTGGATTGACCTCGACCAGCACTGCCTCTGCCGCGGCATGTAGTCCGCCTCCAAGATCTTCTCGAGCAGCACGGCCGCGGTCCTCGGCCCCTTGCAGCGCCCGTTCGCGACGGGCGTGGTGGACATCTTGGCCAGAGCGTCATGGAGCAACCTGGAGCGGCCGCCCGATGGCAAGTAGAGCACTGGCAGCGCGGGAAGGCCCCCACCGCTGCCGGACAGCGCGGCCGCCCCTGCCTCCAGGATGTTGGCCACGGCGACCGCGAGCGAGAGGCCCGAACCCAGCAGCATGTACCCGCGACCGCCAAGCACGACCTGCGGCTGGCCACCAGCTCCAAGGGGCTCGGGCGAGATACGAGTCCCCGCCGTGGAGCCCCCCCGCGCCCCTGCTGCAAGCCAGACCGCGTCCGCCGGTGGCGCCGCGAGCCGCGGCGGTGCTGGGGCAAGGAGAGGGCCCGCCGCCGGAGGCCCAGGCGACGCGGCCGGCGCGGCCGCCAGGGCGCCAGCCCCAGCCGCGGCTCCAGCCGCTGGCCCAGCGGGCCACGCGGCGGCCAGCAACGCCGCAGGGGACGGCGCCTCCGCAAGTGCCTCCGCCTCGCCGTCGGCGCGCGCCCCTGTGCGTGCTGCTGGTGCAGGCGACCCATCCTCCTCACGAATGTCCGCTGCCATCGGCGCCGCCTCGTTGCATAGCGATGGCAGCACAGCGCTGAGCCGAGCGCTGCCCGCCCGCGGGATCTGCCCCTGCGGCCTCCGAACAGGAAGGCCACCCCGAGCTCCCAGCGGCAGCCGAAGGAGCGATTGGGACATGTTCTTATCATAGATGTCCCGAGGCGCGGTGAGCACCCCGAAGCGGAAGTCCTGAACACGTGCCAGCATGATCTTTTCATGCCAGAAGTCATCGCGCAGCTCGTAGTAATCGAGGGCCCTCGACCCCACTTGACGGCTCTGCAGGCAGTGCCGCGTGCGCTCTGCTGAGCTGCGGGCCGCCATCCAATCCTGACCTCAACGGGCGTGCGGTCCTCTTCCACACGGCGCCTGCTGTCGCTGCTGAGAGCACACCCGCGAGCAGCCCTACGACGAAGATGCCCCACGCGAACGGCGGCTCGGGGCACTGCAGCGGCGGACAGCTTGGGCACACAGGACAGGTGAGCTGCTCTGGTCCGCAGCGCTCCAGCTGTCGACCCAGGAGGCCCACGATATCGCTGCTGACCTGGCAATCGGCTATGCAGTGGCAGTCGGGGCAGCGGGCGACTGAAAGAAGAGGGGCCCAAGGAGCGATAGCCTGCAATCCTCGCAGGGCCAAGTCCATTGAGCCAGAAAGACTATAGAGCAGGTGTGAAACGGAACTGCGCGATGCAAACTCGTTCAACAACGTACAAGGGCGGTCTTGGAGCGCTCTTGGACCGTCTTGGAGCCCTGGCGGCCGTCTTGGGCGCGTCTTGGTCAGATTTTTTGAGCGAGGTGACAATTTTTCCGCAATTTTCCGGAATCCACCAGCGAGGTGCGGGATGCGATCGGTGCCCTTTAGTTAGAGAAAATTAAGCCCCTGAACCAACGGTGCACGCCGGAGGCGCTTCCCGTCAAAAAAATTAAGCCCCTGAACCAACGGTGCACACCGGAGGCGCTTCGACTTGGGGCCATCTTCGCTTCTCTTGGAGCGCTCTTGGGCTGTCTTGGGGCCTCTTGGGCGCCTCTGGGGCCGTCTTGGAAACCTCTTGGAGCGCTCCGGGGCCGTCGTGGAGGTCTCTGGAGCCGTCCTGGGCCGAAAAAGCCGCCAACTTGGTCCCTGGAGGGTGTGTCTTCGGAGCCTTGGTGTGAAGCGTTTTTTACGTTGCCGCTCGCTCTGGGAGCCCTGGTGTCGAGAATTGCTCACATCACCGTTCGCTCGTCGGAGCCTTGATGTCACGAGCTTGTCACGTCACCGGTCGCTCTTGGGAGCCTTGGTGTGGAGAGCTTTTTGCGTTACCGATCGCTCTATCATGTGGCGTCTATGGGCCTTCTTGGGGGTCCTTTTGGGGCCCTCTTGGACTGTCTTGGGGCCCTCTTGGGCCGTCTTGGGGCCCTGTTGGGCCGTGTTGGAGACTCTTGGACGCCTTTGGCCGTCTTGGGGCTCTCTTGGCGGCCTCTTGGGGCCCTCTTGGGTGGCCCTTGGGTCTCTCCTGGGGCTCTCTTGGGGCTGTCTCGGGGTCCTTTCGGGCCGTTTCGGAGCCCTTTTGGGTCGTGTCGGGGCCTTTGAGGGCTCTTTGGGGCCGTTTTGAAGCCCTCCAGGAGCGACTCGAAGATAATGCCGGTTCGGAGTCCCCTCCGGAACCGATTTTTCGAGGATGTCTCGAGCGAAACGGCAATTTTTCCGCAATTTTCCGGAACCTGACCGGACAAGAACGGGAAGCGCCGTTTTCCTGTGTGGTCTGCCGTGTTCCTGTGTGGTCTGCCGTGCTCCTGTGTGGTCTGCCGTGCTCCTTCTTGGTCTGCCGTGCTCATGTGCGGTCTGCCGTGCTCCTGTGCGGTCTGCCGTGCGAACGTGTGGACTGCCGTGCTCATTTGGGGTTTGCCTTGCTCCTTTGTGGTGTGGTGTGGTGGGGCCTCTAAAGGCGGGAAAAAGGGGGCCCGAGGCTCTCTGAAGCCTCCAGGGCCAGCAGGAGGGGGCCGCCTAGGGCCGCCCTCCCCGAGGGGCCGCTTCGGGCCAACCTCCAGCACACCCCTGCGAGGGGCCGCCAGGGCCAACGGGGGCGCCTAGGCCCCAGGGCCACGAGGGCGCGCGGTGCCGAGAGGCATGCAGAAGCAGCGAAGCTGCACCGAAGATCAAGCTGAAGAAAAAGGACACCAAAGACCAACGAGTGCCACACGAAGCCCACGTGCACATACAAAATGCGAATGCAAGCGGGAGAGAGGAAGCCAGGCAGAGGACGGAGGAAGGACTCACTCACAGACCTCGCAGCTCCAGAGACAGCAGCTTACTGCCCTCCGCACAATGTGATAAGACGACGGAGCTCTCTGGCACGCTCAACGGACATCCCTGGCGGAAGGGCGTCAACAAGACGAGACCCTTCCGCGAACCGCACACGATCCGCATGGGAGGAACCGTGAGGCCAAAGGAGTCGCCTTCGATCATGTGCATCAGGTCAACAGCTTTGGCGTGGCGCGTCCAAGCGGGACCCAGAAACCCTGGCACGCTCTCCCGCCGAAGGATCCCACGCAAGCCCAAGCAACAGCTAATATCGAGCACGCACGGGGCATCTGCGAAGCGGACCCTCCGCTGCAGCGGCGGCGCCACAGCGCCTGCGGCACGCCCCGAAATCGGGCACTCGGCCCGCAGGAGATCGTCAGGCAGCGGCGGCGGCGGGGCGGCAGATCCAGCAGCACCGCTCTCCTGCACCGTCGCAGCACCTGCGGTGAGCCAAACGCGGGCTACGACGGCCCTCGCTCGCCACCAGTCCCCTGCCACGACCTCGCATCGGCCCCGGCCGCCATCGCCCCCGCGGAAGAGGGCCTGCGGGAAGGCGGCGAGGTATGCGGCGGCTGCTGCAGCGGTGCCGGCCTGGTCGGCACCTGGCGGCTCGCCGACCGAGCACGAGGTGTCCGCGTCGGCCTCGCCGTCCAGGGTAACGTCGTCGACGTCGGAGCCGTCGCAAGACGCGCCTGGCACACCAGCAGAGGCACCACCGTCTGCAGCAGAAGCGGGAGGCAGCGGCGCACGGCCTGCAGTACCTCCAGGGCTCACGTCATCCGCCTGCACACTACCCACAATACCAGCGGCGGCACGGCAGGAAGAGAACAGAACTGCTCCACAAGAGCACAAAACGCCTTCGTCGCTCCGTCGCTGGCTGCCGCTGCCCGACAGCAGGAACTGCTCGGCAGACGACCTCGGCGGCGTGCGTCCCGTGCCGACCTCCTCGGTGCCGCTCTTCACCACCCCGCCGTCGTCCCAGCGCCCCGGGGGCCGAAGCGGCCAGAAGGGGTCGGCATCGCGCCGCAGCGTGTCCACGTACTCGCTGGGCTCCACGTGGCCCTCGCTCTCCGCGTGCACGGCGGCACAGGCAGCGGAATCCGCCAGAAGGGCGGCCTCGACGTCAACGACGTGCGAGACCGCCGAGCCAGTCGGGAAATCCCTCGACACCGACAGGAGCGACCGCGGGCGCGGGAGCCGCGGGCCGCGCTGGGCGAACCGCCAGGCGCGCCGCGGAGCTCCAGGCCGCGGGAGGTTCCGCGCGTGGCATCCGACGTTCCGCTCAAGTATCCTGCCCTCCTGCAGCTGCTCGCCCTTCTCCTGCGCGATAAGCACGGGCGCAACGAGCGCCAGGCGGCGCAGGATGCTCGGAGGCGCCTCGGCCAGGCCCTGCAGCTCCAGGAGCTGCGCTGCCTGCCTCTGCGCCAATCTCTCACGTGAGAGGGCGGCCCAACGCTGAGCCTGGCGGCGCTCGCGCGGCGCCCGCCGATGCCCTCCAGACAGCCGATCACCTGGCCGTCTCCCCGTCGCCATCGAACCCGAGCCCGCGCGCGCGCGCGCCCGACCAGGCCTGAGCCAAAATGGCTACGGACCTTGCTCCTTTGTGGTTTGCCGCGCTCCTGTGTGGTCTGCCGTGCTCCTGTGTGGTCAGCAGGCCCAGGGCTGAGGGAAGGCTGGAGCAGTGCTCTGGTGGTCCTTCACCCGCCCAGCTCCGTCCCCCCCCACTCTGGACCGATCTTGCGGGAAGCTGGCTTGTGGCAGCGCATCGCGCGTCCATGGCGTTCGTGTGCTTGCTTTTACCTCCTTTAATGTCTGCTCCACCTCTCCTTGAGACGCAGAAGCCTCCGAGCGCCGGGAGCAGAAATGATGCACTTCGAAAAATCGATGAAGCGCGGCCTCGGAATTCTTTTTCCGGCGACGGCCAGAGCCGACGCCAGCGCTGGATCCGGTCGGCCGCCAGCCCAGGTGCCGGCCCGGGCGTTCGGTTCGAGCGCCGGCCGGAATCGGCCCGGAAGGGGTTCCAGGGCGCCGGGAGCAGAAAATCAATATTTTCGAAAGAAAAATATGTCTTGGAGTGGCCTTTTTTCCGCACCGCCTCGGAATTCAATTTTCCGGCGCCGGCCGGCGCCGGAACCGGCCCGGGCGCTGGCCCGGGTGCTGGCCCAGGCGTTCGGCTCGAGCGCCGGCCCGGGTGCCGGAAGCGGCCCGGAAGGGGTTCCCGGGCGCCGGGAGCAGAAAATCAATATTTTCGAAAGAAAAATATGTCTTGGAGTGGCCTTTTTTTCGGCACCGCCTCGGAATTCAATTTTCCGGCGCCGGCCGGCGCCGGAACCGGCCCGGGCGCTGGCCCGGGTGCTGGCCCGGGCGTTTGGCTCGAGCGCCGGCCCGGGTGCCAGAAGCGGCCCGGAAGGGGTTCCCGGGCGCCGGGAGCAGAAAATCAATATTTTCGAAAGAAAAATATGTCTTGGAGTGGCCTTTTTTCGGCACCGCCTCGGAATTCAATTTTCCGGCGCCGGCCGGCGCCGGAACCGGCCCGGGCGCTGGCCCGGGTGCCGGCCCGGGCGTTTGGCTCGAGCGCCGGCCCGGGTGCCGGAATCGGCCCGGAAGGGGTTCCAGGGCGCCGGGAGGAGAAAATCAATATTTTCGAAAGAAAAATATGTCTTGGAGTGGCCTTTTTTCGGCACCGCCTCGGAATTCAATTTTCCGGCGCCGGCCGTGCTCCTGCGCGGTCTGCCGTGCTCCTGTGGCGTCTGCCGTGCTCCTGTGTGGTCTGCCGTGCTCCTGTGGTCTGCCGTGCTCATTTGGGGTTTCCCGCGAGCTTGTGGGGTCTGCCGTGCTCCTGTGGGGGAAACGCCAGCGGCGTTCGGGGTACAACAAAAGGCGCGTTTATGTTGTACCTGCGCGCGGTCTGCCGTGCTCCTGTGGGGATTGCCGTGCTCCTGTGTGGTCTGCCGTGCTCCTGTGTGGTTTGCCGTGCTCCTGTGGTCTGCCGTGCTCCTTTGTGGTTTGCCGTGCTCCTGTGGGGTCTGCCGTGCTCCTGTGGGGTCTGCCGTGCTCCTGTGAGGTCTGCGGTGCTCTTGTGTGGTCTGCAGTGCTTCTGTGGTCTGCCGTGCTCATTTGGGATCTGCCGTGCTCGTGTGGTGTCTGCCGTGCTCCTGCGGGATCTGCTGTGCTCCTTGTGTCGTCTCTTTGGTCTGCCGTGCTCGTGTGGGGTCTGCCGTGCTCCTGTGTGGTCTGCCGTGCTCCTGCCGTGCTCCTTTTTTTCCGCCTGCCGTGCTCCTGCTCATTTTCTGAGGACGTCCCTAGCGAAAACGTCATTTTTAACATAAGAGGTTGTAAAACACCTCTGTCGGCATCTCATTTTTTCGAGGATGTCTCGAGCGAAACGCTCATTTTTCATGCACAGCAAAAATTTTTGACATTTTTGAACACCCCGACTTTCTGAGGATGTCTCGAGCGAAACCGTCATTTTTAACATAAGACGTCTTAAACGATAGCCTCCAATACCTCGATTTTTCGAGGATGTCTCGAGCGAAATGGCCATTTTGGGAAACCTGACCGGACAAGAACGGGAAGCGCCGTTTTCCTGTGTGGTCTGCCGTGCTCCTGTGTGAGCTGTGAGCTGCGGGGCCTCTAAAGGCTGGGAAAAAGGTGGGCCCGAGGCTCTCAGAGCCAAAATGGCTCGGAGCCTCCAGGGCCAGCAGGAGGGGGCCGCTTCGGGCCGCCCTCCCCGAGGGGCCGCTTCGGGCCAACCTCCAGCACACCCTCACGAGGGGCCGCGTCGGGCCTCTCCGAGGGCAGGCCGCCAGGGCCAACGGGGGCGCCTAGGCCCCAGGGCCACGAGGGCGGGCAGTGCCGAGAGGCATGCAGAAGCAGCGAAGCTGCACCGATTGCTAGCTCACGTACACATTCAAATACAAGAAATGCGAATGCACGGAGCAAACGGAATTAGCGTCCGCACGCAAGGCTAACCGTCCTGCCCCTGGGCCTCGGCAAGGACGAGGAGCCTCTCAAGCGAAAGCGAGGGCCCGTGAGCAACACAGGCGAACGATGCTAACGAGAGGTCGTCCAAAAAGGCCCAGAGACCGCGAACGGGCTCGTCCACGCCGCCAGCTCCGCCTCCGCGCGGGGGGGCCTCCTCCGACTCCTCCACGAAGGCCGTGCCGATGACGACTGGACGCAGGTCGAAGCGGACGCGACGGGCGCGCCGCCCCAAGCTTGCACCTCGCCTCCTGCGGACGCGGCTGCCCTCGAAACCAGCGCCAGGACCAGTACCGCCAGCCACAGGAGCCGCGAGGGCCCCGCCGCCTCCCGAGAGGAGCGCCGCAGGGTGAGCGTGCAGGTACGCCAGAACCGAAGTGCTGGCCTGTGGCGCCGCCTCCGACACCGAGCAGGTCGTATCCACTTCAGCGCCGGCAGCACCCACCTCCTGATAGTCGAACTCGGCCGAGTCGGCCGCACTGCCAGCAGTGCCTCCAGGGCCGAACACGTCAGAGGCATTCATACAGACATCGGCACGCTCAGGCCGAATAGACCCAGGTAGACCATGCAGAGAAGTCGGATCCACAGCAGCTCCCTTCGGAAGGGCGTCTGCAGGGGCAGGAAAGGACCGATACAGCCGAAGACGATGGCGATGCTCGTCCGCACCCGGCACATATACGGCTTGCTCGGCATGGTAGTCCACAGAAACGCCAGCTGCTAGGTGTGCATATGCTGTACTTCACACCCAGGTGGGCCTTCAGCAAACTCTGCTGCAGGTTGAACAGCTTCAGCACGAGGTGCCTGGGCAGTCAGATGACCGAGCTCGCGAAGCAGGATCTCCGCCTGTTCGCCCTCAAAGGTCGGCATGAACTGCTCGAAAAGGTCCGAGCCCTGTGGAACGAAAACTGGGGCCTCAGGATTCCATACGAAGCCCTCTTGTCTACACTCCAGTCGCGGCCCCTTCTGGAGGCTCTTGAGAGCATGCACTCCTGCGCTGGCGATGCTCACACCAGAAGCGTCGGAGTGCAACGCCACGTTCCTCCTGAGGACGCTGACGTGGCTTGGGAGGCGTCCACGCAGCAAGTCCTGGAGTGCTGGCGCCAGTGCCAAAAGGCGGTCGGCCAGCTCCGCATCGCCGCCGGCCAGCGCGCCCACGAAGTCGAGCAACTGCATGTGCTGTTCCCTGATACGACCAAGCTCTTCCGATAGCTTGGAGACCGCTCTATCCGCTGAGCGAATGGCCCAGAGCCGTGCGGCCTTGCGATCTTGTGCCGTTCTCCTCGGCGCGCATTCCGCGCCGTCCCGTATCGCCATTCCGCGCCCGAGCAAGCATGCTAGATCGCGAACTGACTTGAGCCAAAATGGCTACGGCCCGTGCTCCTGTGTGGTCTGCCGTGCTCCTGTGTGGTCTGCCGTGCTCCTTCTTGGTCTGCCGTGCTCATGTGCGGTCTGCCGTGCTCCTGTGCGGTCTGCCGTGCGAACGGGTGGACTGCCGTGCTCATTTGGGGTCTGCCTTGCTCCTTTGTGGTTTGCCGCGCTCCTGTGTGGTCTGCCGTGCTCCTGTGTGGTCAGCAGACCCAGGGCTGAGGGAAGGCTGGAGCAGTGCTCTGGTGGTCCATCACCCGCCCAGCTCCGTCCCCTCCCACTCTGGACCGATCTTGCGGGAAGCTGGCTTGTGGCAGCGCATCGCGCGTCCATAGCGTTCGTGTGCTTGCTTTTACCTCCTTTAATGTCTGCTCCACCTCTCCTTGAGACGCAGAAGCCTCCGAGCGCCGGGAGCAGAAATGATGCACTTTCGAAAAATCTGTTTGGATGAGTTTTGTTAGCGCGGCCTCGGAATTCAATTTTTCCGGCGACGGCCAGAGCCGACGCCAGCGCTGGATCCGGCTCGGCCGCCAGCCCAGGTGCCGGCCCGGGCGTTCGGTTCGAGCGCCGGCCTGGGTGCCGGAATCGGCCCGGAAGGGGTTCCAGGGCGCCGGGAGCAGAAAATCAATATTTTCGAAAGAAAAATATGTCTTGGAGTGGCCTTTTTTCCGCACCGCCTCGGAATTCAATTTTCCGGCGCCGGCCGGCGCCGGAACCGGCCCGGGCGCTGGCCCGGGTGCTGGCCCAGGCGTTCGGCTCGAGCGCCGGCCCGGGTGCCGGAAGCGGCCCGGAAGGGGTTCCCGGGCGCCGGGAGCAGAAAATCAATATTTTCGAAAGAAAAATATGTCTTGGAGTGGCCTTTTTTCGGCACCGCCTCGGAATTCAATTTTCCGGCGCCGGCCGGCGCCGGAACCGGCCCGGGCGCTGGCCCGGGTGCTGGCCCGGGCGTTTGGCTCGAGCGCCGGCCCGGGTGCCAGAAGCGGCCCGGAAGGGGTTCCCGGGCGCCGGGAGCAGAAAATCAATATTTTCGAAAGAAAAAATGTGTCTTGGAGTGGCCTTTTTTCGGCACCGCCTCGGAATTCAATTTTCCGGCGCCGGCCGGCGCCGGAACCGGCCCGGGCGCTGGCCCGGGTGCCGGCCCGGGCGTTTGGCTCGAGCGCCGGCCCGGGTGCCGGAATCGGCCCGGAAGGGGTTCCAGGGCGCCGGGAGGAGAAAATCAATATTTTCGAAAGAAAAATATGTCTTGGAGTGGCCTTTTTTCGGCACCGCCTCGGAATTCAATTTTCCGGCGCCGGCCGTGCTCCTGCGCGGTCTGCCGTGCTCCTGTGGCGTCTGCCGTGCTCCTGTGTGGTCTGCCGTGCTCCTGTGGTCTGCCGTGCTCATTTGGGGTTTCCCGCGAGCTTGTGGGGTCTGCCGTGCTCCTGTGGGGGAAACGCCAGCGGCGTTCGGGGTACAACAAAAGGCGCGTTTATGTTGTACCTGCGCGCGGTCTGCCGTGCTCCTGTGGGGATTGCCGTGCTCCTGTGTGGTCTGCCGTGCTCCTGTGTGGTTTGCCGTGCTCCTGTGGTCTGCCGTGCTCCTTTGTGGTTTGCCGTGCTCCTGTGGGGTCTGCCGTGCTCCTGTGGGGTCTGCCGTGCTCCTGTGAGGTCTGCGGTGCTCTTGTGTGGTCTGCAGTGCTTCTGTGGTCTGCCGTGCTCATTTGGGATCTGCCGTGCTCGTGTGGTGTCTGCCGTGCTCCTGCGGGATCTGCTGTGCTCCTTGTGTCGTCTCTTTGGTCTGCCGTGCTCGTGTGGGGTCTGCCGTGCTCCTGTGTGGTCTGCCACAGGAGCACGGCAGACCAAGACGAGGAGCAGGGCAGACCAGGCTTAGGAACCGAGAGGAGCACGGCAGACCAAGACGAGGAGCACGGCAGACCAGGCACCAAGAGCGCCCTCAAGACGACGGAAAGGATGACCAAGACGAGGAGCACGGCAGACCAAGACGAGGAGCACGGCAGACTATGCCCTAAGAGTGCCCTCAAGACGGCCGAACGAACGGACCCCAGACGGCCCACAGGAGCACGGCAGACCAACAGGAGCACAGACACACAAGAGCACGGCAGGCCACACAGGAGCACGGCAGACCACACAGGAGCACGGCAGACCACAAAGGAGCACGGCAGACCACACAAGAGCACGGCAGACCCCACAAGAGCACGGCAGACCCCACAGGAGCACGGCAGACCCCACAGGAGCACGGCAGAGCAGACCCAAAAGGAGCACGGCAGACCACACAGGAGCAAGGCAAACCACAGGAGCACGGCAGACCACACAGGAGCACGGCAGACCCCACAGTAGCAAGGCAGACCCCAAAGGAGCACGGCAGACCACCGGAGCACGGCAGACCACACAGGAGTACGGCAGACCCCACATGAGCACGGCAAATCCCAAATGAGCACGGCAGACCACAAGAGCACGGCAGACCACACAGGAGCACGGCAGACTCCACAGGAGCACGGCAGACCACAAAGGAGCACGGCAGACCACACAGGAGCCCGGCAGACGCCACAGGAGCACGGCAGACGCCACAGGAGCACGGCGGAACCCACAGGAGCACGGCAGACCGCGCGCGGGTACAACATAAACGCGCCTTTTTGTTGTACCCCGAACGCCGCTGGCGTTTCCCCAACAGGAGCACGGCAGATCTCACAGGCGCGCGGCAGACCCCAAATGAGCACGGCCGACCACAGGAGCACGGCAGACCCCAAATGAGTACGGCAGACCCCAAAAGAGCACCGTAGACGCTCAGGAGCACGGCTGACCACACAGGAGCACGGCAGACCACACAGGAGCGCGGCAAACCACAAAGGAGCAAGGCAGACCCCAAATGAGCACGGCAGTCCACACGTTCGCACGGCAGACCGCACAGGAGCACGGCAGACCCACATGAGCACGGCAGACCAAGAAGGAGCACGGCAGACCACACAGGACGGCAGACCACACAGGAGCACGGCAGACCACACAGGACACGGCAGACCCCACGGGAGCACGGCAGACCACACAGGAGCACGGCAAACCACACAAGAGCACGGCAGACCATACAGGAGCACGCCAGACCACACAGGAGCACGGCAGACCACACGTTCGCACGGCAAACTCCACAGGAGCACCAAAATGGCCATTTCGCTCGAGACATCCTCCTAAAATCGAGGTGTTGGATTCCCCAAAATGGCCATTTCGCTCGAGACATCCTCAAAAAATCGAGGTGTGGTCTGCCGTGCTCCTGTGTGGGCTGTGGGCTGCGGGGCCTGTGAAGGCTAAAAGAAGCCCGAGGCCCACGGAGCCCGTTGGCCCCAGGGCCTCAAGGGCCAACCCTAGGGGCCCCGAGGGAGCCGCCAGGGGGAAGGGCGCGAAGCGCCAAATGCGCGAAGCGCACGATTTCCAAGAAATCAGAAGGCAGCGGGGCGGAGGCGCATATCACGCCTGCCAGAGCCGCCTCGCTGCATCACAAATGCGGGGCAGAAGACGCTGCCACACGCACACGCCAAAAGAGGTGACGAGGGCGGATACAACAGAAAGAGGAAAGTGAAGCTGCATCACTCCCCTTCGTCACCTTCAGCGCGACGGCGCCTCTTGCGCCTGTCTTCCCGCGCCGTCTCAGCTGCGGCTGACCACTCTAGAAGGCTCGCTTCGTCGAGCCCGTAGGCGCTCAGCCAAGCCTCCCTCGAGGCCCCCGAGGAGTCAGGCGCCACAGGCTCAGCCTCCGCCTCACCTGCTGCCGCCGCGCCGCTGGGGGGCCCTCGGCCGGCGTCGGCGGCCTCGCCGCCAGGTGCATCATCGGGGCGGACGCCCAGCCACTCCAGGAAGCGTACTCTGGCGGCCATCGGCACCACGTCCTCCTTGCGCAAGCTGGGCACGGACGCACCGACCCTCTTGCTGCCGCTGTGGGGCGTGCCAGCAGGGTGCCGCCCCTGCTGCCAGCGCGCCCTCTGGTCTCTCCTGCCCTTGGGAAGCCCAGCCGACCCTGGGCACTGCTCCTTGAGCTTGGGCGCCGCACCTGAGCGCCCGCCTAGCCGCGCGTACGCCCCGCAGTGGGTGCACGCCATCAGCTCCTGCTCGGCGGCTCCCTCCCCGCACTTGGCGTAGGCCAGGACGTGGCCGACGACGACGAAGGCCGCCGCCCCGAGGGAGACGCCACCAGCGCGCGCCGCCGATGCCCACCCGTCGCCCGAACCCGAGACGGGCGGGCGGCTGCTGGCGGGCTCCGCCACTGGCACTGCGAAGGATACAGCCGCCCGCTCGCTGCCCTCAGGGAGGCCCTCGCAGTCCTTGACCTCGATCCCCTGCCAGATGAGGGAGGCCTGCGCCACCCAGCAAGAGAGCTCCCTCACCAGCTCCATCGTGCCGAAGAACTCGCGCCTGGCCACTGGGCTGGTTCGGTGGAGCTCCGCCCCCGCCTTGGCCCAGCGGTCGGCATGTCCGTTGCCGCGGAGGTCCGCCTCCGTGATCTTGCCATCCAGCACGTCTCTAGCGGTGCAGTGGGCTGCGACCTTGGTCACCTTGAGCGTGTCCACGTCTAGCGACGCGTAGATCCCCTCCCAGAGGTGGGCGTTGGGCTTGCTGGCTGCCGTCGCGTACTTCTTACCCAACGTGAGGCAGCTGACCGTGGACGCACAATCGATGAGGATCTCGTCAACGCTCGGACCCAGGAAGCGAGACAGCATCCAGACCGCGAAATCCTCGCCGTCCTTCGCCGTCTGGAACGGGCAGAGGTCCTGGCGCACGCTTCCGTACACCGCGCACTCCATGTTGCCGTCAGAGTCGCACTGCACGATGCTCCAGCCCGCCCGCCGCAGGCTCTCATGCTCAGGGTCTAGCGCCGAGCCATCCAGGTAGAGCCGCCCCCCGAGAAGACCGTCGGCGGGGCGATTGCACCACATGACTGACATGGCGTCTGACCTCGGGGCGGCCCTCGGTGGCTGAGGGAGCCAGCAGCGCGCAAAACATTCACCCGCCTCCTCGCC